AAGCTCCAGACCTTCTCGCTGTGCCTCCAGACGTAAACGCTGCTCCTCCTGCCACCGGAAAATGTTGATGTATAGTAAGGAAAGATCAGGTTTGAAGCTTTTATTAAATCATAAACCAGCATAAAAGATACGCATTTAGACATATTAGAGGCAAATATCACACTAAAATCAGAGGAGTTCTCACCTAATCTTCTCTAAAACAATTTTAAAACTGTAGTTTTTTGCCTTCTCCACTGTGGTGCTTAGTTAAAATCATGTTTAAACCTCCAGAAAGAGCTGCAGAAACAAAAAACAAATACCCCTGTTGCAATGTTGCATATCTGAGTGACATCACACTAATAAATAACTTGCCCTGTCCTTATGTTGCTGCAGATTTTACAGCCTTCATCCTGTTTGGAATGCATCAGCGATGCATCATAAGCAACACACACACTTTTTACACCTGACAGGACTTGATCTTTCATTGAATGCTCTTCATGTCTTCATCCTAAGTGCTTAATTAGAAGGCTTGACCATCCAAACGTGTCCCTGACGATGTCTTTTGAGTTAAAATGGCATTGTTAGGCATATGTTTGGATCGTGAAGCAACAACAACCCAAATATTGGTTGTATGGATCAATACTTGGTCTATCTGAACAAATACAGAGGGTAACTGCCTCTTTAGTGACCTTATTGCCCCTATTAGTGTGATTGTTCTAACTACAACTTATTGGCCTGTTACTTCCAACTGTCTTCAGAACTGAAGAAGCCTTTCGGATGAGGAGTGAAACGTCTCCAATAGACAAGAGAAGAAGCCCAGCTGGCTTCTAATGAAGCACTTTGGATTGCCATGTCCTGGATGACTGAAAATCTATACTAATATAGTGCTGTCTTTGTGTGGCTAGATACACCAACATACGAGACAAGCTAAGACGTTTCACTGCAGATTCATAAGGACATTTATAAAAGACCTAATTCAAGATAGAGACAGTTTCTGATTTAAAAACAGTAGTAGGTGGTATTCAGTTTGCTTTTATTTAACTAGGAAGATCTTACTAAGATGTGAGATCTCTTTTTAGGGAGGGTTGGCTAATATAAAAAACTTTTTATATCAAGTGTCATTCCAGGTATGATGACTAAAATCGTGATTAATGAGTATAAATATATTTACCCGTCTGCATTTGATTCTCTGTCATCATTCACTCACAGTTTTACGCCTATCCAGAAAACTCTTCATCATGCAGTGTGCTTTGTTTTGAGGTGAGAAGGAGCGTGACAACAAAAATAACATTAAACAGCCAAACTAGGCCTGGGTTGGACAGATTGTTAGGGTATAATACCCACGAGTTAAAAGGTTTCACAGTATTTAAACAAACATTTTGAATTAAAATGTATTATTGAACAACAACATAAAGCACCAGCAGCTACATAATAATAATAGCCTTAAGACTTTGGAACCTTTATTCACAGTAATCAGACTGGAAAGGGGCACTGATAGAAGGGACGAAGATGACGGTCTCAAAACCATTGATGCTTTACCAGGTTTAAAAAAGATTTTAAAAGATAACTTCCAATGACAGATAAAATATAAATTGAAAAAGGTTAAAAGAAACTATTCAGAACCACCTCAACTGAACTCAATGCCTTTTACTAGCTGAGTTAAACAGTTGACAAAACAGTGAACATCATAGAAAAAGGCAGTTGCTCTCCTGCCTTTTAAGGTGCTGTTATTAACTGTAAAACGTCCAACAAGCTCAACCTGTGAATAAAGCGTTCTTTAACAGCCTTGCTTTGTCGGACTAAAGTCCAAATCTCTGCGGTGAAACAGATCTGAAGGAGTTAAACTGCACTGTCCTTGTGTACCTGAGGCAGGGTGTTGACAGCCTCCCGCTCCTCCGTCACAGCTCTCACCCGTCGTTCGTGATCCAGACGAAACTGGACCTCAGAAGCAGTCGTGTCCCGGTGCTGAACCCACAAAATCATAAAAAAAATAAAAAAATATTAATATGATCCATGCAAATGTTTTTACATGCCTTAGGCTGTGATTGAAAGTCAACCTAGTGTGTCAAGGCAAGGCTTTTCTTCCTGATTTTATTTGTTTTTGTTGGTTCATTCACTGAAGAAGAAATCCCCAACAGAGGAAAACTTGTTTCAGCTACTTGTTTTAGTTTTATGTGATTTAAGATTTAATAGGTTTCACCAAATTAATATAATCCCTATTGTATTGTTTTTTTTAATGCACAGGTGCATCTCAATACGTTAAAAGATCACTAAAAAGTAAATGTATAATTAGTAACTCAATTTAAAAAGCAAAACTCCTGTTATACGGTGCCATTACTCACACAGTGGCATATTTCAAGCACTAATTTCTGTTAATTTTGAGGAATATGGTGTGCAGTTAATAAAACCCCAATATTCAGTTTCTCAGAAAATGCGAATATTAAACAAGGCAAATAAAAATGATTTTAAAATCAGAGAGTCTGCAGTTTTGTGTAGGCCAAGACTGCAGACATCAAAGTTGTCCTGCAGACAGTAAGGCACACCCTCCATGAGTAGGGTAACCCACAAAAGGCCATTCCTGAAGAAGCTGGATTTTAACAGAGAAGTGTATCCAGGAAAGTTGAGTGGAAGGAAAAAACTGTGGCAGAAGAGACACTCAAGAGCTTACGACTCACAGGGTGTTGATTGCAGTTGGTGTCAGTGCTTTAAGAGTCACCACAGGTGTATACAGGACATGGGCTATAACTGTAGCATTATTTGTTTTAAGCCACTTCTGAACCAGAGACATATGCATCTTGCCTGGGCTACAGAGAAAAATGACTGGACAGTTGCTCAGAGGTCGAAAGCCCTCTTTTTAGAAGAAACAAATGTCATTTGGAAATGAAGGTCCCAAAGTCTTGAGGAAGAGTGGAGACGCACAGAATCCAAGCTGTTCGAGGTCAAGTTTTAAGTACCCTCAATCCATGATGATTTGAGAAGCCACGTGATCTGCTGCTGTTGGTCCAGTCCAAAGTCAGAGCAGTCGCCTACATGGAAAATGTAAAGCACTTCACACTTTCCTTCCTTAACATCTCAGCAGAGCCACAGGCTGATGATCTCCATGGCACACTGCATTGATGCATTAAATCATGCCAAAGGAGCCTTCGCAGAGTATCGGATGCATATACTGTATCTTACATGGACATATTAAAAATTGTGTTCTATTAGTCTTATGTAATCTAATTTTCAGAGAAACTGAATTTTGGGTTTTAATTAGCTATAACCCAAAATCATTAAGGGGTGTTTAAAATCCATCACTCTGTTTGTAATGAAGCTATATATGTTTCATTCTTGAATTAAAAATACCTTTTGATGATATTACCTTCTTGAATGCAGCGACACATATAAGATAATCTTAATAACCTATAGGCTGAATAAAGCAGCTTGAGCAGGAACTTCTCCTGTTTGCTTATATATCAGAAATGCTTATATATGGGAATGAAATGCTCATATTTATGAGTCTGGTTGTGATCATTTGTCTCAGAAATCAGTAATAACACAACCTGCCTGTCCCTCTTAAAACACCCAGGAACAGTTTGGAACCACAGTTTTAAATATATATATTTTTTTATTTCCAATGCTGCACCTCATCAGTTTGCTCCAACAGTAAGTTGAGCTCCTCAGCTTGTCCTGACCCTGCATCACCTCCCTGTCAGCCCAATGTCAAATGCTATGCAAATCACTCATGCTGACTGTGCAGTGCTAATCCTGCCATATCCAAGCTGCTTTCTCATTCACCCATTCATTTATTTCACCCTACAGATTAGGCTGCTGCTGAAAGCACAGAGGATGAGCAAAAAGTCCACATGAATGTGCTATAACTGTGACTACAGCAGCAATGTGCCGCATCACCACTGCCAGCACTCTGCATTACATAACAACCGGCAGCTTCTCTATAAACACAAGCATGAGGCAGTGATTATGAATGACCTCAGAGTATAAATCCAAGTCTTAAAAAAAGAGATCTGCGATATATGGTGCACAATGTGTATTTAAAACTGTTCTGTGACATATCTGTGTGTGTACACTGACTTTAATCAGTTGAATGTGGAAACTGTGTCTGCTAGTGGTGGACCGGAGCCAGGGGGCATCGCTTCAGGGTGAAGTGTGTGCAGACTCAGCTCTGATATCATGAAAGGTAACAAAAGTCACACAGGTCACATCAGCAACACATTGTTGCTGTACACAGCTGCTGGTACCTTCATGCTGTTGATGAAGGGCAATAAATCAGCAACAAAACTACTGCAAATGAAAACGTGTCACCAAAACCTTTCTTTCGCTATTATCTGGGTCGATTTGTTTTCTCATTATGTCAGTCCAAACGGTCGTTCCGTGTATGACATGAATGGGAGAAAACAAATAAAAATGTTAATGTTTGGCGTAAAATAGTCGACAAAAAACATGAAAACGTGTGTACAAGCAAACGTATGCTGTTTAGTTTATTATGTACATTTTTAATGGATACACGCATTTTTCTTCCCAAACAAAATATACATTCCATCTTTGATATTTGATTTGACATGTCTGAAGCTTTTTTTATGTACACCTTTACTTATGCATACACTTTTTTAGAAACATTCTCCACAGAGATGAGATTGTTGTTGTTTGCTGCTTGAATGTCGCCAAACATTGTGCACTTTAAGGAGATTTTTTTATAAGAGAACTGAACAATTTTTGTCCTTTAAAATAAAAGGGAAATCAAATTTAGATTGAACTATTATCAGAAACTAATCATACCTTTAGAAATTACACAATAAATATCTGAGGTACAAAAATATTTGATAGGAATAGTAATATAAATAATTTTTTTGTTAAGTTGTCCCTCTTTGGTCAAGTCAGACATCCATTTGGTACCTATCTACTCCTATTTCACACTCGTGTAATTAAAATTAATAAAACTGTGTAATTAATCATTGCATATCGATTTATAAAATATTTTGATCAAGTATCAAGATAATTCTAAAAACATGCTAAATGTGAGGCGTTGGGTGGCTCAGTTGGTAGAGCAGGCGCACCATGTGCAGAGGCTATAGCCCTGGACGTGGTTATCCTGGCTTCGATTCCCAGTCTCAGGACATTTGCTGCATATCTTCCGCTTCTCTTTCCACATCCTAAAATAATTTCTAATTGTATAGCTAATTTATTTGCGAATTAAGATTTTATATTTTATATATCACATGAAAAACTATGTTTATTGTTGTGATTCAGCTCCCTGTTTGGGCCAGCTGATTTATGAAAATATGAGAGATTATGATCCCGGACCAAATCAAAATTACTTTGAGGAGCCTCCTGCTGGTAGGTTTTACTGATTTCCTTACAGTAGACTATAAGTAGATAGTAGGAAACATCTCCCTTGCGTACCTGAAAAATTTGGGAAGTAAAACTTCTAAAACTGGAAAAGTATGAAATAGCAAAGGGAGGAAATGACAGGCAAGCTAATATTACCACTACTACTAATAACAATAATCCTAAAAGTTTAACAAAAAACATGTCAGCTATTTTATTCTTAGCAGCTCCGATTAGCAAACTCTGAATATCTACGTTTAATTGTAGGGTCAATATGTCATGGGCAATTTTTTTCTACTGTACATTTATGCTGAAGTCTTTATGCCAAGATACAGGAGACGGAACTTAGTTTCCTGGTTAGGGTGGTCGGGCTCAGCCTTAGAAATAAACTGAGGAGCTCCATCTGCAGGGAGCTCAGAGTTGAGCCACTGCTTCTCCGCATCAAAAGGTAGCAGATTTCACAGAGGGACTATGTATACCTTCAGGCCTGGGAATGCCTTGCACTCCACCAGAATGAGCAGAAAAATGTTGGCGGGAAGTGGGATTTCTGGATTTCATCCCTGTGTTGGGACCCACAGCCATGGAAACAACATGAAAGATCCAGTACAGACTTTCCTGGAACCAGTGTTACCAGGTGAGAAATGTAGGATTATCGTACTAGAGACATAAAATTATCGTATTTTGAGGGAAATTATCGTACACTCGTCATAACCAAAATAACAAGTCTGTTGATGTGTTGAATAGCG